GAATCCCTGGAAGTGTCCAAGGCCAGGCTGAAGCATCCTGGGACAGTGGCAGGTGTCCCTGCCCATGGCACTGGGTGATCCTTAGGGTCCAAATCCAAACCATCCCATGACTCCATTGATCCTGGAACACCACAGTTTCATTTATTGGGAGCTGGAATGAATGCACATGAAGTTTTGAACTTGGAAATATCTTTAAAAGCCATTAGGAATAAGGTTTTGTGTCTTCTTTGGGAATGACAGGAATACCTGTGGCCGAGAGGTCCCATGGTTGTCCTTTCCCAGTTCCCATGAGGTCTCTTTCCCTGGGATTGTGATTCCAGCCCTGCTCCCCCTGTCAGGTTCCATCTTTTCCTTGGATAAACACATCCTAACAGGAGCTTTTACAGGGAATTTTTACAGTCATATAAAACCACCCCATCAAGTTGCCTGGATTTATTTGCCTGCAGACTCCAAAATCAATCCCTGGGCTGTTGTTCCCATTCCAGCCTCATTGTTTCCCCCTGATTTTTCTCCACTGCGGCTTTTCCTCCTTGCTGGATTTTAAACTCCCCTCATTAGGAATTTTTGACTTCTGCCTTCAGAGCCTATCTGGGAAAACCCATCCACAGGGCTGCTTCCACAGGCTGAGCTTCTCTTTCCAGCCTGAGCTGTTCAATCAGTCAGGCAAGTATTCAAATGGGATTATTTTTATTTGGCTATCAAATCCTTTTTAAAGGATGTATTGTTTTTTCTCCTCACAAACACTTCCCATTTGAATTCAAATATTATTCCCTTTCTCTCCCATCCCACCTGCTTCCCTGGCACTTGGATTAGTCAGGGTATGTCAATATTTGAGGGAATAAATCTCTGCTGGCTCCGGCTTCTGTTTGGGTTTCTGACTCATCTTGGGGTCAAATGAGCTCAGCAAATGTGGGAGAGATTCTGGAGGGACTGGAGCAGCTCTGCTCTGGCTCCTGGGCTCCAAGTGCTCATGCTGGGCTTTACTGGTTCTTACTGGTTCCCAAACTTGTTCTTACTGGGCTTCACCAGTTGTTACTGGCTTAAATGGTTGTTATGGGTTTAACTGGTTGTTACTGGTTTAAATGGTTGTTATTGGTTTAACTGGTCATTACTGGTTTAAATGGTTGTTACTGGTTTAAATGGTCGTTACTGGTTTAACTGGTTGTTATTGGCTTAAATGGTTGTTACTGGTTTAAATGGTTGTTACTGGTTTAACCGGTCATTATTGGTTTAACTAGTCATTACTGGTTTAACTGGTCATTATTGGTTTAACTGGTCATTACTGGTTTAAATGGTTGTTACTGGGCTTTCTGGAGCCTTTATCCCAGGAAGCAGTTCTGGATGTCCCCAGGATGTCAGTGCAGGGCAGAGGGGGGATTGGTTGGGGTTAAATCTGGGATTTCTGGGAGTTTTCCCATTCCAGGGGGATCCTGAGCTGAGCCCAGGCCCTGAGTGGCACCAGCAGCAAAGGTGACATCTCTGCTGCCACCAGGAGCTTTGTGTTCCCACTGGGAATTCTGTGTTATATCCCACTGGGAAATCAGTGTTATCCCACTGGGAATTCTGTGTTTTACTCCACTGGGAATTCTGTGTTTTATCCCACTGGGAATTCTGTTATCCCACTGGGAAATCTGCTTTATCCCATTGGGAAATCTGTGTTATCCCACTGGGAATTCTGTGTTTTACTCCATTGGAAATCTGTTGGGAAGCCTGTGTTCTTCACATGTCCACCCAACTTGGAAACCAGTGTCCCTCCCTCTTGGAAATCCATGAGCACTCCACTTGGAAATGTGTCCATCCCCCCTGGAATCCTGTGTCCATCCCACATGGAAATCTGTGTTTGCTCCCCTTGGAAACACTGAAAAAGCTGTGTTCCCTCTCTTGGAAACCCACATGTTCTGCACCTGGAACCCTGTGTCCATCCCCCTGGAAAACCCATGTTCTTCTACTGGAAAAACTGTGTTCTCCCTCTGAAAAACTCATGTTTTGCCACTGGAAAACCTGTGTTCTCCCACTGGAAAACCTGTGTTCTCCCATGGGTTTCCAGAACACTGGAAAACCCATGTTCTCCCATTGGAAAAACTGTTTTCTCCCACTGGAAAACCCCCGTTTTCCCTTTGGAAAACCTGTGTTCTCCAGTAGGTTTCCAGAACACTGGAAAATTCCTGTTTTCCCTCTGGAAAACCCATATTCCACACATCCCTCCTGGCGCCCCATGTCCACCCTGCACTGATGTTCCCCCTGCTTTGCAGTGCTGGTGATGGAAGTTCCACCTGGGCTTTGCCAGGAGTTTCTATCAGGAATCCTCCCCAAATAAGACTGAAGAAGAGCAAAGTGATGGAGGAAATCTTTCCTGATTTCCCCAAGTGTTTTTAACTCTTCCTATTTTCCAAGCAGTGGCAGAGAGAGGAATGAAGGGATATTGAATTTTTAATGCCAGGAGAGCATTGCCATGCCCTAAATGGGCTGAGACTCCACCCAAAACCAGGGAATTGTGTGAATTTTTAGCAGGAGCTTAAGGCCAGAGTGTGTTTGTCAGAGTTTGGATTGACTGAAATGACTCCAGGAGCTTTTGAGCTTTACCTCCAAACAGCTTTTCCTTCCTCCCTTCCCTCCTTTACTTTCCATAAGGAAAGCACAATGATTAAACAAATGATTAAACCTGAATGGATTTCTGGGGATATTTGTGAGCCTATTTCTGAGGATATTTCTGTGGATATTTATGTGCATATTTATGGGGATATTTATGTGGATATTTATGTGGATATTTCTCCCTGACATGCAGCTTCTGGCTGTTTCCCTCTGCCAGTTGGGAATGGGGGTTAATTCTGTGGGAAATATTCCCTAATTCCTCTCTTTTTCCCCCACAGGTGTTTACAAAATATGGGAAATGCTACATGTTTAACTCAGGAGAGGAGGGGCGGCCTCTCCTCACCACGGTGAAGGGGGGGACAGGGAACGGCCTGGAAATCATGCTGGACATCCAGCAGGACGAGTATCTGCCCATCTGGGGAGAAACAGGTAAGAGCTTCCTCTTCCTCGGGTGATTTCCTTGGAAAAACCATCCCAATGGTCCCATCTCATCCTATGGATCCCATCCCATCCCATTGGTCCCACCCCATTCCATCCCATCCCATCCCATTCCTTCCCATCCCATCCCATCCCATCCCATCCCATCCCATCCCATCCCATCCCATCCCATCCCATCCCATCAGTCCTATTCCATCCCATCCCATCCCAACCCACTCCATCCATGGATCCCATCCTATTGCATCCCATGGATCTCATCCCATCCCATCTCATGGATTCCATCCCATTGATCCCAACCCATTGATCCCATCCCATCCCATCGATCCCATCCCATCCCATCCCCTTGATCCCATCTAATGGATCCCATCCCACCCCATCCTATGGATCCCATCCCATCCCATCCCATCCCATCCCATCCCACCCCATGGATTCCATCCCATTCCACCCCATAGATCCCATCCCACCCCATAGATCCCATCCCATCTCATCCCATCCCATGGATCCCATCCCATGGATCCCATGGATCCCATGGATCCCATCCTATCCCATGGATCCCATCCCATCCTATTCCATCCCACCCCATCCCATGGATCCCATCCTATCCCATCCCATGGATCCCATCCCACCCCACAGATCCCATCCCATCCCCAAACCAGCTCTGGGAGCAGGATCCTGCTCACTCCAGGAGGTGTCACTTTTCTCCCCGGGGTTTGTGGTGGCCCCTTGGGAGCAGCATTTTGGGGAGAGCTGGGTTTGGGTGTCCCAGTGCCAAGGTTTGGGATGCCAGGCAGGAATGGCACTGCCTGTCCTGGGCAAGGGTGGCATTTGTGGGTGACAGGAGTGTGGGGACATCTTCAGGGGCTCCAGCACATCCCTCTCCCCTGGAAAGGCATTTTTGGGAGGCTGTGTTCAAGGTGTACTCTCTGGGTTTTCCTTCTCCTTGGAATTTGGGAATATTTACTGCTCGGAGTTGTATTTGCTGGGCTGGTGCTGTGTGGGTGGAGCAGGGACTGGGTTCCTTGGCTTTGGAGCATTTGGGGTGGATGGAATCTGTGTAGAAATGAACCCAGCTGGGCTGAGCATCTCCAGAGGAGCTGGAACCCCTTGGTCCCAGAGCAGGAGGTGCTGACCAGGAGAGCTGGGCTGTGGGATGACCCCAGGGCCTGTGGATGGAATACTGCTCCTGGAGTGGATGTGGAGTTATAGGGAGCACTGGTTCCTTCAATGGATCATGGATCCTTCAATGGATCATGGATCCTTTCATGAAACACGGATCCTTCAGTGGAACATGGATCCTTTAATGGATTGTGGATCCTTCAGTTAATCATGGATCCTTTCACGGATCATGGATCCTTCAATGGATCATGGATCCTTTCATGGATGGATGCTTCAGTGCTGCTGCAGAAACGATGGGCAGGAGCATGGGGGACAGGATGGGGACAGTGCCACCAGGACCACCCGGGCACAGCAGTGCCCAGCAGTGGTGGCTGCAGCTTTCCTGAACCCACAGTGACATTTTAAACCAATCATCCCAAAAAACTGCTGGAAACCTTGCCAGGAGCTGTGTTTGTGTGGGGACACTCCTCCAGGAGGAGTTGTGGTAATTTTGAGGGTCAGGGAAGGGAAAGGAGGAAATCCTGCACTGCAGGTTGGTGTCACCATGGGTCTGTCACCCCTGCAGTCCCTCTCACAGCCCTGCTGGAGCAGAGAGGGGATTTGGCTCCGTTGTTTCCCAATTCCCTTTTCCCTGTAGGGTGTTTGACTCTCCCACACACGAAGCTGTGGGCCCATCAGCCATGCCAGGCTGCACAGAGGAGCTTTGCTCCCAGATTTCAGCTCCTGCCCCAAATCAGCTGGGCTGGCCCACGTGACGGGGACAACACAGAGATTTGGGATAATCGTTCCTCACTGGGGGATTGGTTTGAGCTCTTGTCATTTTAAAGGTAAAACAGGTTCATGAAGGGGTGGGAGCATGAGGAGCAATCTCCACTTCAGGGTGTCCTACAGGGAGAGATCCCCCAAGGGAGACAGAGCTGCCCTGAGGGACCTGTGGGGACAGGGATCACCCCAGGGATGGCTTGGGGACATCCCAGAGCTGGTGAACACCTGGAGCTTTGTGTTCAACCCTATTGGGGTCTCACATCATGGAATCCCAGCATGGATTGGGCCGGAAGGGACCTTAAAAATTATCCAGTGCCACCCCAGCCATGGCAGGGACACCTTCCATTGTCCCAGGGTGCTCCAGCCCCAATGTCCAACCTGGCCTTGGGCACTGCCAGAGATCCAGGGGCAGCCCCAGCTGCTCTGGGAATTCCATTCCAGGGCCTCCTCATCCTCACAGGATTTCCCAATATCCCATCTATCCCTTCCCTCTGGCAGTGGGAGCCATTCCCTGCGTCCTGTCCCTCCATCCCTTGTCCCCAGCCCCTCTTTAGTTCTTCTGGGACCCCTTTAGTGCCTGGAAGGACTCTGAGCTCTCCCTGGAGCTTCTCCAGGTGAACATTCCCAGCTTTCCCAGCCTTTTCTCACAGTGCAGGACCCCTGTGGGTTTCTCCAAGGAGACCCAGCCATGGTGTTCCACCATTCCCTCTTTGGTGCCTTTTTTGGTTCTGCCCTTTGGAGAACTTGTAGGAAGTTCTGGGAATGTGCTGGGCTTTTCTATCCCTGTGATTCTGGGCAAGGTGGATCATTCTCAGAGGGATAAATCAGCCTCACATTGAACACGAGACAAAAAAAAAAGGAAGAATAAATAAGTGAGGAATAAGTGAGGATAAAAACTGGGAAGGGAAAAGCTGAGGGAGGGAGAGAGGAGGTGCCTCCACACCCATTGGCATCAGCTCCATCCAGAGGGATTGGGGATGGAGCTGCTGCTCTGCTCCCTCCTTCCAACAACTCCTGAGCCCTGGGTGTGCCACAGGCAGTGGGAACCTGTCCTGGCCATGGGCCTTGAGCCTGAGGGAGAAAAAACAGCCCCAAGTGTTCATTTTGGTCAAAAATTCTGGGGTTTGGGGTGTCTTCGGGGTTCAGAGCTGACTTTGTGGAGGATCCTGTGAAGTCAAACATCCCCTGGTGCCCTCCTGCCCCATCACTGCTCATCCCACCAGGCTGACCTGGAACTCAGACTCAGCTCAAGATCAGAGGCTCAAGGGGGAAGTCTCATGTGCCTGGAGCTGGTTTAGAGTTGGATTCTCTTGTCACAGGATCTGAGCTGGTGTTGGAGTCTCCTGTCCCTGAACCTGGGTTGTATTGGATTCTCCTGTCCCTGGGCTGATTCTGGATTGTCCTGGATCTGGGTTATGTTGGATTCTGCTGGACCCGGCTTGATTTTGGATTCTCCTGTCCCTGGGTTGATTTTGGATTCTCCTGTCCCTGGGTGGGTTTTGGATTCTCATATCCTTGTACCTAGGTTGATTTTGCATTCTCCTAAACCTTAATTTCCAATTTATAACAATTCAGAGGGTTTTCCCTTCCCACTGAGCTCCTGTCTCTGTTGTCACTGGGAGGGTCCCAAAGGGTTGATTTTGGATTCTCATGTCCCTGTCCCTGGGTTGATTTTGGATTCTGCTACCCCTGGGTTGATTCTGGATTCTCCTGGACCTGAGTTGTGTTGGATTCTGCTGTCCCTGGGCTGTGTTAGATTCTGCATTCCCTGGATTGATTTTAGATTCTCCTGTCTCTGGGTAGATTTTGGATTCTCATATCCCTGTCCCTGGGTTGATTTTGGATTCTGCTGTCCCTGGGTTGACTTTGGGTTCTCCTGGGGCTGGGTTGTGTTGGATTCTCTTGTCCCTGGATTATGTTGAATTCTGCTGTCCCTGGGCTGATTCTGGATTCTTCTGGACCTGGTGTGATTTTTGGATTCTTCTGTCCCTGGGTTGATTTTGGATTCTGCTGTCCCTGGGTTGATTTTGCATTCTGCTCTCCCTGGTCTGTGTTAGATTCTGCTATCCCTGGGTTGATTTTGGATTCTCCTCTCTCTGGACCTAGGCTGACATTCTGGGCTTAGATTGCACTGGGAGTTACTGAGGTCTCTTTAAACCTGGAATTTTACAGAATTCAAGGAAAACTCCATGAACAGGGCTCTGATTTGCTGAAGGGGTGAAGGAGAAGCTCCTGGGCTCAGGAGCCTTGGCCATATTCTCACAGGCCCAGGTAGAGCTGTGTGCCCTCAGAGCTGAGAGCTCTGATCTTTGCAGAACTTGGATCTTGGCCTTTCCTTGGGAGCCTTCTCCTCTCCCATCCAGCCTGTCCTGGATGCTCTGGGGCTCCCTGGACACCCTCGGAATCCCAAATGGGAGCTCTGCTGGTTGAGAGTGGCTGTTGCCATGGCAATGCCTCGCTCAGCTCTGCTGGTGAGGGAGGGAGTTGATTATTTCCAAATATTTGCATAATAATTTCAGTGTACTTGGAATTCAATCCCCTCGGTGCTGCCTCCGGGCTGGGCTCTGCAAGGGAAGGAGCTCCAAGGGAATTCCAGCCCTGGAGGGGGACACGGGATGGGAAATGGATTTCTAGAAAGTTCTCAAGCCCTGACAGAAGGCCCACACAGTGTGCATCAATATGCAAGCTTTGAAATAAGAAATACTGACTTAAAAATACCATAAAATAAAACAAATATTACTAAGAGAAAAACAAAACCAAAAAAGTTTCAAAAAATAGCCTTAAAAATAAGACTAAAAACTTTAAAGAAATAGAACTATGAAAGATACATTATAAAAGACCCACAGAAAGTAATTTTAGATGATTAAAACATCTACAATATAATATAACAAAAAACAAATAAA